TGTGTGTGTGTGTGTGTGTGTGTGTGTGTGTGTGTGTGTGTGTGTGTATTCATGCTTTGCACACAGCAGGAGCGCCCTAAGCATTGGGGCTTCTGCTGAGCTGAGAGCTGGCCCTCGGCAATGGCACAGAGGATGGGAAGGTCTGTCCTTGAGCGTCCGAGTGGACCAAAGGCTCTTTCCAGCATCCTACCCAGACACCTGGAAGAGCGAGCGCCCTGAAAGGACCGTGTGTTCGCCCTCTCTATAGACCCTGTTCTCTTGGCAGATGAGCCCACCTCTCCCAAGAAGCCAAAGAGTGTCCCTGAGCCCAAGCCCAGAGTCTCGGAAGTTGAAGCCACCTCTCCCCGGTCCTCTGAATGGACTTCAGTGAGGATCAGCCCTGGAGAGGATGCAGTCGGGCAGGATGTGCTCGCTGTGCGTGTCCTGGTCACGAGTGAGGACAGCAGGTATGCCCAGGTCGCTGAAGGTTAGAGGCAGCCACAAGGCAGGGGGCAGAGGGCCAGGCTGCCTCTGGGATCTGCTTTTCTCTCCACTGGGAACTCCTGGCAAGAGATTCTCAGGGCCTGTTTCCTCATCTGTCAATAGGGACCATTACAGTGACTTGCCTCTGAAGGAGCTGTAAGACCCAAAGAATTGACACATGCCAGACATTGCTTGGTGCATAGTAAATCCGATAAGGCTGTGTAGTCATTGTTTTCTCCGAGCTGTAAAAGGCCTGGCTCCACTGTCTTCCCCCAGGAGTCCACCGTCATATAGGCACTGTCTAATAAGTGACACGTGTCACAGGGAGAGAGGCTCCTGGGCCCTCCCATGCTAAGATGTGATACATGGCAATAGAGAGGCCAAGGTGGGCACAGAGGAGAACACAGTTTTCATGCACCCGGCACATGATCCACACCAACTGCTGTTATGTGGAGAGCAGCCTGCAGGCCTCCCCAGGCCTCCCCAGGCCCCACGTCCACTGAGCACATTCAGAGAAGCCGTCAACAGTATCAAGTGCTTATTAATGCCTAGATTCTGAGTGTGTGGCTATGACTCATATACCGGGTGAGGACTCCGCTATCAGACACCTTCCCTACCTGGGTAGATAGCCAGGGAAACAAGGAAACATTAAGTAAGAAAAATGCCAGCCGCATGTCAGGCAAAGAAATAAAATGGAGTTGTGTAGGGTTAGGATGGCTACCTTAGGCTGGATGGCCAGGAAAGGTACCAGTTACTGAGTTCCACAGTGATAGAGGGCCAAAGTGGTCCCAGAAAGAGTGGGTTACTCTTTCATCCCATGTGGGTCAGAGCTAAGGGTCCTCTGTGAGACCATGCTGGCCATGCAGGGCTCACCTAGATGGGTTCTGGATCTTGCTGGCTGTCAGCTGGAGCAGTGGGAATGGTATATGAACAGAATGGAAGGTCAGTGTGGCCAGAAGCCAATACGGGGAAAAAGGAGGGATTGTACTGGGAAGCTGGGGTGTAGTTCTGTGGAGGCATCCTTACCCAGAATGTACCAGACCCGGGTTCAATGCCCGGCACCAGAGGGAGGGAGGGAGGAAGGGAGGGAGGGAGGGAACAAGGAAGGAAGGAAAGATGGAAGGAAGGACAGAAGGAAGGAAGAGATGATGGGAAGAAAAAAGAGAGAAAGGGAGGGAGAGAGGAAGGCAGGGAGGTAGGGAGGGAAAGCTGGTTAATTGGTTATGAAGAAGATAATGAATTTATGTTTTATTCTGGGAATAATTGAAAGAGTTAACTTCTAAATGACACATCATTAACAATTTTAGATATCTATAGGCTCTGGTGTGGAGAGCAGAGGAGACAGGCTGGGTGACCGTGAAGGCAGGGAGACCTGGGTTGGAGCCTGGGGCTCCTGGGCGTTGGGAGGACACAGGTCAGAGCCATGATGATAGACTTGCTGATAGTTTAAACATGAGGAAAAGAATGGGCACCAGGGCACACACCCCCAAACTTGACTTGAATTGCTGAATGGATGGTACAGACATCCATAGATGCCTCTAGGGTGAGAAAGATGCAAGTTGTGGGAAAGCCCAGCTCTCCGTATTGGACCCATTGGCTTTGGCTGGGTTCATCTCTGTGCTGAGTCTGCAGTTGGCCCTTAAGTCCGCAGTTTCCTTTCCTACATGCTCATCCACACAGCCATGCTGACAGAGGAAAGCCACATGTCTAATCTAACCTGTGGTTTAAAAACTAGGTCCCTAGAGATAAGCATATTTGGCCTCAAGAGCTAAGCAACTACACTCTTATTGATCTTTGTTGTCATTTGTGGGTTGAGTTGGGTTGGGTTGGGTTTGAGGCAGAGTCTCATGTGGCCTTGAACTCATTATACAGCTAAGGCTGGTCTTAAAATCTTGATGCCCCGGCCTCTACCTCCAAAGTGTTGAAAGTTCAGGTGTGTGGCAGCACACTGTTGATGAAGTGCTGGGACTGAAAGCAGAGCTCTGTGTCTTCTAGGCATCTATCAACTCACCCACACCCCTAGCCCTCGGCCATGGTGTGGGAGGAAGGAAATTGAGAATAGCCTTCATTAAAGTGGCTCAGGAGGGGCTGGAGAGATGGCTCTTCTGTTAAGAGCACTGGCTGTTCTTCCAAAGGTCCTGAGTTCAATTCCCAGCAACTACATGGTGGCCCATAACCATCTACAGTGAGATATGATCCGTCTTCTGGTGTGCAAGCAGAACACTGTATAAATAATAAATAAATAAATCTTTAAAGTGGCTCAGGAGGCCTGGGCTGGGACCTTCCTCCTGTTCTGTCCAAACTGTAGTCTTCTGGGATTGTCAAGGCAAAGCGCCTCAGGCTGGGAGACTCATGGAAATGTCTTCTCACATTCTGGGAGCTGGGGTACGCTGTATGACAAGACTATTTTCTGGGAGATGCACCATGTCTACACACCCCAGATCGGAAACCCGTAACAGACCAAACTACAGACACCACTGAGATTTAACTTGGTGAACCATGAGTTTTATTGGGGCTACCTACAGGGATATGGGGGAGGGGTTACCTCAGGAGCAGAAATGGCTCAAAGACAGTTGCATCACCAAAGCCAACCCCCAGTGTGGGTGGCCGCTCACAAAGCTGGGAACCTGGAGCACATTGCACAGCCTGGAGGCAGCTCAACCAGTTGGAGAGTGTTCTTTCCATGTGCCTCAGGTGGTCTAAACCTCTCCTGGGCAGCTCAGCTGGTTTCTGCTCCTTCCAGGTACTCTGATCTTAGAGCCTTCTTTGCAGCTCAGCTATTCGGAGTCTTCTCGGATGCTCAGCCCCCTCTCTCCATCTGAGGAGGATTCTTGCTTACTCTGGCAGGGAGGGAGGGGTCTAGTGCATCTGGTCAGATTCAGGAACTTCCTGAAGTATTGTGAATTGTAACCTTTCCTGCTTAAGGAGCTTCCCTGCAGGATGGAATATATCGATATCACAGGAAACTGTCACACAAGTATGAGATGAAAGGGTGGCAGAGGAGAATTCTCTTGGGGACTCTTAGGGAAGGATCTGTCGCAAGCCTCTCCCTGGCTTATAGATGGCACCTTCCTGTTTGCAATGGCAGCCATCTTCTGTGTACATTTGTGTCCCAGTTTCTTCGTATAAGGGCACCAGTCATAGGATTAGGGCCCACTATAATGGCCCCATCTTAAATCAATCACTCTTTAATGGTCCTCTCTCTAAAAGCAGTCATGTGCTGAGGTATTGGGGATCGCCCTTTTGGCATAGGAATCTAAAGAGACATAATTAAGGGCGTGACAGAGCTAAGTCTGGGCCCAGACCCAGAGGCAGCTGAGCTGACCCCTTTGCTCCAGGCCCCGAGGACTGTCAGAAGAGAGATGAGCATGGAATGCTGAGGGCAGGGGGGATGGATGTCTAGGGCTCCCAGGCCACCCTCCTCTTCCTTCTTCCAGCTCTGATACAGAATCTGACTACAGCAGTGTCGCGGGCTCCTGTACAGAGGCTGCCGAGGAAAGACCCCCACCTCCCGTATCCCCGCCTCTCTCAAAGCCCCTAACTCGGCACACCTCCATGCGGGAGCCCCTCACCCAACCGGTCTCTCTGCTACACCAGGAGGATCCACGAGTTGTGCCTGGTGAGTAAAAGGCCCATGAGGCTTCACTCAAGGACACAGAGAGGGAGCAGGGACCCCGAAATCCCCAGGGCTGGAATCTCTGCTGAACGAAGTCATATGTGGGAAGCGGGAAGTTATGGACTCTGTCTCCAGAAGCTTTGGATCCACGAGTATGATAATGTCTAGTAGTTTTGGGCCACTGTTGGTTGTCGCTGGCTGTTGTAGGTAGGAAATCCAAGTCTCCCTTGCCTGGAACAGCTCCTTGGGTCTCAGGGGCCCCTCCGGTATTTCATAGTCTTTGACAGAAGACTGTGTACACCCAACCTTGATCTGCACGGTAATGAGGGTGATTTTTCTACCTGGACCTCCTCCACAAATGGCCCCTTTTCACCTCTAGGCTGAAGTGAGAGGTGAGTAGCATGCAGTTCTTTCTATGGTATGCTATGGGCCCATGAGCAGTACGGCCAGGCCTGGCGACTCCACTCCGTAAGCTCAGACCAGCTAGAAACTTACCTTTCATGTCTCAGCTCTTGACTCAGCAACGTGTGGGCAAATCGGATGTCGTCCAACTTCATGGCGACCCTGGCAGGGCCTGGGGAGAAAAAACATGGTAATAGAAATCTGCCGCCTTCAATAGCCAGTGAGAGCTGCGGCTCAGCTTGTCCTGCATTGCCCTCTGGTGGCCAAGAGCAGAATTTCCAGCTGGTCCTCTCACCAGTGTGGGGTTTTCCCAGAAGACCAGGCCTGCAAAGACCTGGGCCAAAACAAACAAACACAGAAACTTGCAGAGACGTTTCCCAGCCTTCGCAAATCTGACTCTAACTTTCAGTGTGAGCCTTTAAAAACTAGGAAGCAGGCAGACACGGTCTGTGGCTAATGCCTGTAATCCCCAGAACTCTGAGTTAACAGCAAGATTGCCACAAATTTGAAGCCAGAGCAACATGGCTTCAGGCCAAGACCCTATCATGAAAATGGAAACAAAACCCCAATCCTAAGCCTAACCCTAGCAAATGGGAAGTCTGCCTGGCATTCACCCCGTTCTCTGCTCCTCTTCTTTCCTCAGTAGGACTTTAAGCAACTTACCCTGAAGTTGTAAATCAGAATTATGTGTTGAAAGAGAAAGCTTCTGGATCAAGAATAACAGAGCCAATTTGGGAGGTAAAGACTTCAGAGAGCCAGGACATAGTTTTAAACAGCCAGTGCCATGAAGGAAACCTGGAGATGGTTAGTCTCACTATTAGAGGAAAAAAAAAAAAAAAAGAAAAGAAACATTTTCTTATAGATGTGCTCAGACACAATTTTTCCCAATGCTCCTCTGCTGTCATGAGAAACACTGGCCAAAACCAGCATGGTTTTGGGTTATGGGTTATAGTCTGTAACTGAGGGAGGCCAAGGCAGAGACTCAAGACAAGAACCTGGAGGCAGGAACTAGAGTGAAGGCCGTGGAGGAGCACTGCTTACTGGCCCACTTCCTCTGTCTTACTCAGCTTCCTTTACTGTAGAGCCTAGAGCCGACTGTCTAAGAAGGGCACCACCGCAGTGGACTGGGCCCTCCTACATGAATTAGCAATTGAGAAAATACCCTCAAAGGTATGCCCACAGGCCAATCTGATGGAGGGGATTCCTTCCTCCAGGATATGACTAGGTTTCTGTCAAGTCTGCAAAAACCTAGCCAGCACAATGCTTAACTCCACAGAAAGCTTCTGGTTTATGTCAAGTTAATGATGTCGAGAGATGCCTTAGGTCATGCCCTTTGCAATGGCTGCTGGTGTCTGCTTTTTTAGGCATCCTGTGCTGGCAGGGAAGAGCATGGCAAAACCAGACTCTGTGATGCATGGGCGGGCTCCCAGAAACAGGACGTTTGGTCTTGACAGCCCAACTTCATTCTACAATGAATTACTGGGCAGATAGAAACTGCGTAGACTGTATGGCTTTCAACCATTGGTTGATTCAGTCTTTGGTGGTCGTGGTGATAATTGACAGACAAGCCCCAGTGCAAATGTGACATTTCTTACGTAGATGCCTCGGCTTAGACATGACCCGTCCCTCTCCCACACCTTACTCCGCCGAGTGCTCGCGTGTTGAAGGCTTGGTCCCTACCTATTGACAGTTAATTAAACCGTGAAGGGTGCTAACTCTAGTGGATTAACTTCTCAATGAGGCCATAGCTGAATGGCCCATGACAGTGTGAGGCCTAGTTGGAGCAAGTAGGTAGGTGTGTCTCTCAAGAATCTATCCGCCAGATTCTTCCTCCACTCTCGCAGCTTCCCAGTGGGACAGCTCACTATGTGATGCTCTACCTCACCACAGGCCAATAGGAATAGGCCCAACTGGCTACAGACTGAGCCCTCTGAAGCCCTGATTCTGCCTGTAGTTAGTCTGCAGTGTCATGCATCGAAGTGACGAAATAAGCCGATCATTTTCTCAAATATCGCAGAGCAAACCCACTGGCACATCTCAGGGGAGCGTCACCAGCCAAGATGCTCATCTGTATCACTGCCTCCCGGAGGATTTAGGGAGCCTGGGTGAGAGCAGATACTGTTTTCAAGACTCCTGGTCTGTACAACCATGACCTCAGCGATGTTACCCACAACAGACACAAGGGGAGACAAAACCCTCTCTCCCCATCTCTCTAGGTGTCCTTTTCATTTGGTTCTCTTTAGTTTTATCCTTTTACAATACATGAGTAAAATGTAAAGAGGTAGTGGATTTGCTGGTCCTTTTTCTGTTAGGACATTTTACCAGAGATGGTCAGGACTGCCTTGGCATGCCAAGGAACCTTCTATACCCTCCAAGTTCCTCAACACTGAAACTTCCTGAGATGAGGGTGGAAAGCAACTTAAATCCCTGCATTAAGGAAACTCCAGAAAACACTCCCTTAAGCTATCTGCGCCTTGATCACCTTTCCATTGCTGTGAAATAATAATAATACAACTTAGAGGCAGACAAGACTCTGGCTTGTTGTGGCAGAGTGCCGGTCCCTGGTCTCTTGGCCCAGCTGCGTTTGGGCTTGTGGTGGGGCACTGTATCACGGTGGAGAAAGCTGCTCACTTAGGAGCATCTCAGAAGTAAAAGGAAAACCAGAAAGGAGCGGGGCTCTCGTGTTCCTTCAAGGTTGCAGGCCCAGCATCTGAACTTCCTGCCATTAGACCCCACCCTCTGACCCCACCCCCCTCAGCACTACAGGCTAAAGGACCAAGCTTCTAACACAGCAGCCCTTTGAGGACATGAAAAATCCAGGTCAGGGTTCCTATAGATCTGTGTAAAAGCAAAGTCCCAGACGCCCACCGCCCGAGAGCCAGGGCCTGTGGGCCCGGAACATGATCGAGTGTCTGCATTTGGCAGAATCCCACGTGCGTCAAGGATGCAGAGAAGCAACCCTGTGCTTCTGGGCTTTGCACATCCCACAGGGCAGCTTCCTGGCATGCCTGAATGAAGAAGGTGCCCAAGCCACGAAGCGGGTACATCTAATTCATTGAGTGTGTGGGCAGAAACCAATATGATTTAGGAGGGCAATCTGTCCCCAGGTTGTTCCAGCCTAAACAAGTTGGTATTCTCCATCTTCGAGCAGTCACGTGACTGCTATAGGTCAGGAAGAACACTACTAGTGTGTAACAAGGAAATCAGACCAAAGGCTGGCTAAATGCCTGCGCTCTACTTCTTTTCCCAGAATAGATTGTGCACTAAAAACGCTCCTGTAAAACCAGTACAAAGTGGGGCCAGAGAGATAGCTCAGAAGTTAAGAGCACTTGCAACTCTGGCAGAAGATCCAGTTTTGGTTCCCAACACCTACACAGTGGCTCACAACTGCCTGTACCGCCAGATCCAGGGAAAATGGCACACTCTTTTGACCTCTGAGGGTACCCGGCATGGACATGGTGCACAGACATACATACAGGCAGACACTCACGCACATCGAGAGCAAACAAACAAAAACCCACATACAAAGTTAATCAACATACACAGAGCCCGAGCTGGAGAGAAGGGAGCCGCTGTGCTCCGGGGGGCTGACACCGCTCAGCAAACCGTTGCTGTAAAAGCTACTTAGGAATTTCTTTTGCCAGGTGTGGCTGCACGCACCTGTGACCCCAGCAGTGAGCAGAGGGAGGAGGGTTGCCGCTAGCCTGAGGTCATCCTGGTCTGCACAGGAAGATCCAGGCCAGCCAGTGCTACACAGTGAGACCTCATCTGAGCACAAAGGAGGAGAAGGGAGAGGAGGGCTGGATGGAAAGAAAAGGGAGGGAGAGAGAGAGGCTGTCTCTCTTGCAGGGAGTTTGCTGTGAGATCACATCTCCTAGTCATGTCAGATGATGTACCCATACGTCTCACCAAGACTGTCTAAACATAAGCTGTGTGAGGACATCAGCAACCAAAGTAGACGGGAGAAAGTAATGTGGCCTCAACCCTTCACAAAGAACTACAGTCAGCTAAGGAATGCTGAAAGAAAGAAGGATACTCTCCCCCTGGGAAGAACATAAAAATTGTGCAATACCAAATGGTCAGCCCTGAGAACACACATACAGGTAGCATTATACAGACAGTGCAGCTTATATTTAGGAGTATATATGTATATAGGAATGTAACAACAATTAATGAAAAAACAAGAGGCCATGAATTTGAAAGAGAGCAAGGAGAGGTATATGGAAAGGTCCAGAGAGAGAAAAGGAAAGGGAGGAATGATGTAATTATATTATAATCTCAAAATTAAAAGAAAAAAAATGCTGTTCCTCACTTGGGCCCATGGGATAATATAGAGCAAGGGAAACATCTGGCCTTTAGGCTTAAATTTGTAATTGTCTTTGTCCAAACTTTGGGCCAGACCCCGACATGTAATCACTTCAGGAGCGTCTATGTCAAGCCAAGTGATACCTGCCCTCTCACCCACCCTCCAAGGCTGAAGGCATAAAGAAGACAGTAATCCTGGGTTTTCCTTTAGCCTCTATAGTGTCCCATTCAAAAAGTCCAAAAGAAGCCAGCAAGTTTCCAGTCATTGTGCTAAACCAACAGTCATGCCTTAGATCCCAGAGCCGCAGAGCCTGGCAAGCAGGTCACAGAGTCCGCCAGCTGCACTCATCAAAAGGGCGTGGCTTGGTCTCTCAAGTATGAAAACTGCTTCTGGTCACCCTGCTGAGCGAGGGAGAGCGCTGATTAACGGGACCACACTTAGGCTTTGACCTCTTGCTGCCTGACCCAGATCTTTGTCTGTTAAATCCAGAGTGCTCCAAAGATGGGCTCACATGCCTGTTTTCTGCTCCGGTAATGATGCTGTTTAAAACCCTTCCCTGCATTTCCACCATGACTTCTCGTTTTCTATGGGAACACCATGGCTGGGGCAACTTAGAGAAGGAAGGGTTTGCTTGGGCTTCCAGTTCTAGAGGGATGAGAGTCCCGAGTGGCAGGCAGGCATGGCAGCCAGAGCAAGAAGCTGGGTGCTCACATCCTCAGTGGCGAACACAAAGCAGAAAGGGAACTGAAAGTAGAGTAAGGCTGTATATTCTCAAAGCCCACCCCTCTCAATGACACACTTCCTTCAGCAAGGTCACTAACGGGGGACCAAGCGTTTGAATACCTAAGCTCGTGTGCCTATATCTCAATCAAACCATCACAGAATCCAGAGTCAGGCCTCTGGCCTAGGACTCCCATTATTTTATGTCCCCACTATTGTCCTTGCCATGGTACAGTTGTGCCTGAGGTCACCTGAGCCATCAGGTCCACTGTTCCACAGAGTTTAAAGCAGGCACCCGATGGAGCCAGAGGATCCTGTCCTGAGAAAGGAAACCCAAGGTAGTGGCTGACATGGCGGAGCTGGAGGTCAGCTCACCAAAGCAGGGGGTGAGGTGAGATGTCTTGGCTTTAGAGGGTTCTGTGTTCAAACCTTCCCTGTCCATGCCCACACAGACACAGACACAGACACACACACACACACACACACACACACACACACACAGACACACACACACCCATATCTTCTTCCCTGTACCTCCCCGTGCTACCTTCTGCCCCTCAGATGTGTGCCTGTGCACCTCCTTGCTTTGACTATGATGGCAGTATGGGGGCCTGAGCATTAGAGCCTAGCAGGGGAACAGGATGCATTTGGATCCCACACCTCTTCTCAGGGTCGGAACAGCCAGGGCCTCTGCTCAAGGCCTAGCCAGGCAGAGGGGAGGCACACAGGGTGCTGCAAACGTGCTTCCACAGGAACCCAGCTTTCAGGAGTCAGTTCTCACCTTCTGCCCTCTTGAGCCAGGGTCTCAGACGTTGCTTCTGTACAGTGCACTCCAGATCAGGCAGGCTGTCAGTGTCCCACTGATTCTCCCATCTACCACCGTTTTCCTTTCCCTTTCCCCCCTCCAGACCCTTCTATATACCCCTCCTTGCTTTTCTCCTAATTCATGGCCTCTTTTTTTAATTGTTATTATATGCATATATGTGTTTGCATATACATATATATTCCTAAATATAACCTGTTGTGTTTATACAATGTTACTTGTGTGTTTTCAGGGCTGACCATTTAGCACTGGACAACCCTTTGAAGTGGTCTTCCTTGGGGTCCTAGGACCACCTTTTCTCACTCCCAGCCTTTTTTTTTTTTTTAGGTTTCAGGGGTCAAACTCAGATTATCTGCTAAACCATCCCCCTAGCCTCCTGTATAACTATTTGATGAAGAATGAATGAATGAATGAATGAATGAATGAATGAATGAATGAATGAGTGTCTAAGTGAGCGAGTGAGTGAAAAGTAGGATGGGGGTCAAAGAAGTTCACTGTGATGAGCGGAAGTGTCTCAGTCCATCCTAAGCGGTTTGCCTGCTAACTTTTGGTGAGTAAGCCATAGGAGACAAATTCCTCCCCTGCGCCAATTAACAGACTCCTAACTCCCTGCCATCTTCCTGCCCCTTTCTGTTTTTCACCACAGCTCTGCACCGGACCCACAGCCTCCAGACTCCAGCTCCAAGCAAATACCAGAGCTGGAGAAGAGAATTCCAGTCGAGTGAGTCATGAGCAGGGGGGACGGGTGCGTGGGGGCAGTTGCTCTCATTCCTTACATGGTGTCTCTCTGCCATAGCCTGGGATACCAGGGCAAGGAAAACCATTCACTTGGCTTGATTTCCACTGCTGACTAGAAACATTGCCAAGGGATCTGGGAACCCCCTCCCATCCCTCTCCCCCTCCTCTGAAGTCCCAGTGCCTTCAGCCGACCAGAGCCCTAGCCGTCATGAACTAAGCCTGAAATGAGAAAGAGGAATGCTTGTTCTCTCCCAGCAACTGGGCTAGATCCCCCTTTTGGGTCCATTCATTGCGACCAAGGAATGAAGGTGGCAGCTTGCACTAGAATGTGTGTAAACACACAAACACACAGTTTGTTTCTTCTAAGCAGATCCTGGGTGAATGTCAGAGCTCCCACAAGAGGCACAGTGACCATGCACACACCATCACACAGCAAACCTAACTTCTTCCAGAACGCTTGAGGGAGAAGCTGAGGCTCCCTCTGCTTTGAGCCCCTCGCCCCTTCAGCCCGCCCCCTCCCATACCCATGCTCCACCTCCAGCCTCACTCTACCCCGGCTGACCCAGCACGGCCTTGGGCAGGAGCTCCTTCTGAGTCAGCGTGATTCCCAGCCAGTGAGTCATGTGCCGCCAACCCCCAGACTCAGCACCTCTCACTGTGTCTCCCTAGGACAAGGCAAACTTCGGAGCTAGGCCAGGGCTGCACACCTGGGAACAAGCTAAGACGATGCTGGAATCATCTGAGCTTCCCAGGGTGGCAAAAGTGACAGGACGGAGGGAACTAAGGTTTTCCAGGGTGCTCTCATCCGGGGCCTAGAGCTTGAGGAGCACCAGGATCCTGCTCTCAGGACAGTCCTCCTAGCTGCTGGGCCATCCCAACGGTCCTGAGTATCACCAGCGTCAAGGGGCTCAGTCTGTGCTCAGCAAGCTCCCAGCGTGGGGTGAGATAGGAGAGTGGCAAACAGCAGGGACAGGGGTTCTAGAAAAATAAGACAGAGTTCTGCTACTCACCAGGTGAGGTCTGGGGACAGACCTGGAGGCTTCAGTGTCCAGTTATTAATGAATTTAGGTGGGTCTTACATACACAGTAACGCTGGGTGTGGACAGGGCTTGAGCTTGCCATTTCTCTGACCTAGCAGGGTCAAGACCAAAGGCGTTCTTGTGTATGTGTGAGAGGAGGGAGGGATGGAAGAAGAGGGTTGGGGGGGAGGAGGTTTGAAAGCCGGTTGGCACAGCAAAACAGCATACTGGCTCAAGTTTGCAAGCTGCTGCCCCTAGAGGGCACTCCAAGACTTTGAGAAGTCCTTTTTGGCTAGAAAGCAGTGACGCCTGGACTCCAAGTCATCATGACAACTCCAAAAGTTATGAATCCCTGTGTGCTCCAGAAGAAGGTTTGTCAGTCAATAGGATATAGAACAGAGGCACCTTCTCCAAGCAGAGCATGCTTACAGTGACCTGCACCACCATTGCAAAAAGGCCAAGAGGAGGTAGCACAAGGAATTGCTCCAGGGGACACAAGCTGTAATCCTGTCCCATGCCTGCTTTTCAGCCCTTTGTCATAAAAGGAGCTGAGAGCACACAGCACTAAGATCCTCTGCCGGACAGAGGACCGTGGAACCTGGCTGGAACATCCCAGAGTTCCCCATCAGGCGTGGGAAAGGAGGACTAAAGTAGACAAAGAATGTGCTCGTAAGCCAAGAGTTCAAGAAACCCTGGTGCAGTGGTGTCCCACTCCCCATGAAAGAGATCAAGGGTCTGGCGGTATCTTTGCTGGATACTGTTTGTGTGCAAGAGAGGGAAATGGATGTGATTCATGCTAAGCCAGCATTTGCCTGCATGGCGGTGTGTAGTTTTTAAGATAAGGGCATGGGATAACTTGCTTGTGTCCATTGTAAATGTGAACAGACTGGGGTTCTGGGGACCTCCTTCACTATCTTTTAGAGAAGCTCGAAGACAGGCCCAGTCTCATAGGAGAGGCTTCCCATCTCTCCACTCTTCACTGGCCTTTCTTTCGCCTCCTGGAGTCATGTCTGGTCCTTGGGCAATGACTTGGCCCAAGGACAAAGACAAGGGAGAGACTGGACCTCCATGTCTCCATGTCTCAAGCCCTCCACAAGTTCTGGCTTTAAGTTAATGTAAGGACCTTGTGGCCAGAGACCCCACAGCATGGACGGGGCCTGGGAGGAGAGGGAGGAGAGGGGAATGGCTTCTGGGTCACCATCTTGTGGATCTTAAGCCTTTTCTGTCTAGCTTGAGTCTCAAGGTGTTTCTGGCCCTGTGTCGCAAGGTCCCCTGTGACTCCTCAGAGGACAAAGGGATAGTCTGTGAAGCTGGGGGCACTTTTGAGGCTGCTTAAGGAGCCTGATCCAGCGGATGGCAGAGAGAGGAGAGTGAGGGGGCGAGGAAGAGGGGGAGGAGGAATTTGGCAGGAATTTAGTAACTGGGGGCAGGAAGCAAGACAACGGACTGACTCACAAGTTTTGCCTTTTTAGGCTCGAACCATTATGTTGTGGGCTGAGATGGGGTGTGGGCGATGGGCTGGAGGCCAGCCCTGCCCTGCATCAGCTCCCGGCAGCTGATGGCTTTCTCCCGGGTTCTCCCTGTTGCCCACCTTCACAGCAGCTGTGTTCCCCCTGTCACCTTTTCCCTTACAAACATCCTAAGGCCGAGGTGGAGTACCCTGTGGGAACTCACAGAGCACGTGTGTCCAACAGCCATCTTTTCAGAGCCCATACCTGGTATGCACTGCCTAACATGTTAGCCTTTGGATGAGGGGAACAAGAAGCAGACTGGAAGGCCACCAACATCCCCCTGAAAGAGGTGTGGACACTTCTTGGGTGGAGCTAACTGAGGCTGGGCTTTTCTTTCCGGCTTGTGTTCCCCGAGATCCTCCACTCTGTCATTATGTTCCTTGAGTTTGCTCAGAGTAACAAAATCACAGTTCGAGTACCTGAGCAGGTAGCTGTCACCTAGAGCTTTGGGGAAACTGAGGCCTGGGAATTGTGTTGAACTAAGAAATGAGCTAGAATCTGTTGGTTGGACACAGGATGGGAAATCTGAATGGGCCACCTAAGCCTTCACAGCAGGGAGTTGGGGTAGCTATCAGAGAATGAGCTGGTGAGACATTGGTCTGGGATGTGCCTGAGGAATGCCGTTGTGGGCCACAATGGCTTAGGATGGCCTGAGGATGAAGCACAGAATATGCCCATGACAGACTGTGCTTTTTTCTGAATCTGCCTGAGTACAAGTTATCTGAAATGCTCCATTCTGGAGATGAAATACCTGATGTTGCAGACTTAAGGCTACCAAGTTGGAGGAGAAGAGGGACAGGGGGTGTCAGCCTGAATCACTTCCTGGGCTGCACTGCCAGAACCCTGCTCCTGCAGGACAAGGTGACTTCAGCTGCCCACAGGTCAGAACCAGGTTCCTCCCCCCGCCCCCACTCCAGAAGGCAGCCTCACTCCAGGCCAGCCTCGCTCCTTTCCTGCACATCTCTGAAAAAACAGAGCACTTTCTGCCTGTTCCCTGAGCCACAGAAATTTGGCAAGGACCCATTAATTCTGTGTGATTCGAACAGCAACCTCCCTCCCTTGGGTTCTCATAAAATCTCAAGCTAACCACCTTGTCTGAGAGCCCCCCGCCCCCGTGCCCCAGGACCACACATGTGAGAGGAAGAGCCCATTTCATTAGGACCAAGCATCTAGCCTGTCCGCGCCCGCAGCTAATGGTCTGACATCTTGTAGAAAGGAGCCTCGGATGGTTTATTATGGAGAGACTTAGTACAGTCCCAGCACCTGCCTGCCATGGCTTCAGGGAGGAAGCATTAGCAGGAAATGTCTGTCTCCAAGAAGTACTCTGTGGATTGTGTTCTCATCTCCTGGGGAACAATCTTACAGAAGTCTCAAGTGGTAACTTACATGACTCCTCCTCTAAGGGCCCTGCTGCCAAGTCTCAAGCTATGGGCACTAGGAACTCTGAGTCCGTCCCCAGCATCTTTCTTTCTAAAACTGAGGGTCCACCCTCAATCTCCTCTTTTTATGTTAAAAAACAAGGTAATAACAGAATATGTTTTTCCTTGATAGAATCAACATCCATGAACCGAAGAACCCCATCATTTCCAAAAGAGCCTCCTCCTTCTCCTCCTCCATCTTTGCCTTCCTCATCTTCACTGACATCTTCATTTTCTTCAGCCAGTGTAGCTGGGCTCACTACAGATAATTCCCTGCCTGCTCAGGTACGTGCCCTCCAGGGCCCTGCACAAGAAATGGGAAAGCTGGAGCCAACTGTCCATGCACCTCACTAAATCAGTGGTCCTCAACCTTCCCAATGCTGCAACTCTTGTTCCTCATGTTGTGGTGACTCCCAACCATAAAATTATTTTTTCACTACTTCATAACTGTAATTTTGCTACTGTTAGGAGTCACAATGTTAAGTATCTGTGTTTGTTTGTTTGTTTGTTTGTTTGTTTGTTTGTTCTCTGTGTAACCTTGGCTGTCCTGGACTCACTTTGTATGCCAGGCTGGCAGCGATCTGCCTGCCCCTGCTTTCCCGAATGCTGGGATTAAAGGCATGTGCCACCACAACCAGCAATATCTACATTTTCTGATGGTCTCGGGCAATGCACCTGTCTGCCTCCCGAGGGGTCATGACCCACAGATTGAGAACCACTGTTTTAGAGCCTCAAATGGTCTTTTGATTACAGTATATCTAAGGACTGCGGGTAGATGCCAGCAGGTTCCAAACAGCCCCTTGCAACGAAGAGTGACCTTTCTGAAACTTCCTTCTGATTTTGAGTACCTAAGAGCAGAGAAAGGAAGAAAGTGGTGTGTCCATTGACACTCACCTGCCCCTAGAAATAAACACGAGGAGGAGCTGTAAGTAACTGGTATTTCTGCCCATCCCTCACAGGTGCCAGCTTACAACCTCCACTCCCCAATGGTCTCCAGAGGTGATTTCAGCCCCACTCCAATCTACCTCAGACGTGCCAGGGCTCAAGGGATTTCGAAGCAAATCCCTTTCTATCTCCCTCACAGCCCCATGCTGGAGAACACAGAATACAGTCTGCTGAGCCCTGGTGGAGAAGGCCTCAGAAGCTCTGGGGACATGCCCTCGAAGGGATGCCAGGAGTCACAGGCTCCTGGGAGCACCAAGAGCATGCACAGAGACTCCCATCCCATTACAGGGAAGGACCAGTGTTTGTCCCATCAAAACCCAGGAGAGGTGAGGGAGGGACCCCGGAGGGAACAGACATGTGGCCCAGAGCCGTCCAAAGAAAGGAAGCTGGGCTTGAAGAAATTAGTCCTCACTCAGGAGCAGAAGACCATGCTGCTAGACTGGAATCACTCCACCCCTGTGCACAAGGCTGGGGAGCAGCTCCCCCAGGAAAGTGCTGCGAATCACAGAGGCCAGAGCCTGAAAGCTGCAGTCTGCTCCTCCACCCTCTCCCAGGCCATGAAAGAGAAACTGCTACCCCAGGCGAGGACTGTGGGGGAGGTGCGAACCCCAGCGGTCAAGGCACCACAGGAGAAAGAAGTGCCTCCGCCCAAGTCCCCCCTGAAGCTCATAGCAAATGCCCTCCGAAGGTCTGTGAACCCCAATTCTGAAGGTGGGAAGAAGACCTGCCCCAAACCAGAGTCAAAAACCTTGCCTCGAGGCCAGCCGCATGCCTTCACTCGTTCCTTTAGCCTCAGGAAAGCCGGTTCTAATAAAGATGGGGACCAGCAGTCTCCAAAGAGATACATGGCCAAGAAGGTTTCTGCCTTCTTCTCTCTGGCTTCCCCAACATCTAAGGCTGCCCAGGCCTCGGACTTGAGCCCTCCTGACCCCCTCCTCCGCACCCGGAGCTTGCCCAGCCGACACTCCAAGATGTCCTTTGCAACATCCCCACCCTCAGGCAGCAAGACTGAAGATGTCCCCACTCTCCTGGAGAAAGTGAGTTTGCGAGATGCCAAGCACGTTCCAAATGAAAGAGCCTCGAGTAATTCTTCCCATGGCCTCAAAGATAATTCCTTTGAGAGTTTTCTCCAGGAATGCAAACAAAGAAAGGACATCGGACACTTCTTTAACAGCCCCGTGGGGCCACCGGGGAACAAAGTCCCGTCTTTGGAGCGGCTGGTACAGCCTTTTGGCAGCACCTCCATGGGGCAAGTGCCTCACTCTTCTTCCACAGGGCCAGATGCACGTAAGTGTCTTTCCTAGAGGGTAGACGGGTTTCTGCGGGGCAGTCAGTGGATTAGCAGGCACACAGGCACTTTGCTTCACTCTTCCAATTCACTCTGACAAAAGTGGGGAAGGGCGGGACCAGCGAGATGGCTCCGCTGGTCTCAAAGGCTGAAGACCTGCGTTCCATCGCTAGGACCCACACGGTGGAAAGGGAGAACCAACCGACCTCCCCAGAGCTGTCCTCTCACCATCCCATGTGTGTCCCCCTCCCCCAATACACAAAGAAATGAATGGAATTGAAAAAAAAAGTTGGAGAGAACTTGAAAATGTTCTAAGAGAAATCTGAAAAAGAATGAAATTAAGTTATACAAAGAGCTACCATTAACAATAATCCTACCAGTTTCCTTCTGTGTGACTATGTGAACTTTTTACCAAGATGTACATACAATTGTATATTCTAAAAAAATCAACTTTATAATATAGGTGTTATCCAGATTATCACAGATTCGATATAAATGTGATCTGAAAGAGCGTGTCATCTTATGACAGTGTTGTCATTTAACGAACCATTATTCGATTATTTAGCTTATAAGTATATATGTAATATATATTTACATATGTACAAATATATTTGCAGGTGAATGTATTTATACCATATGGATGGTGCTGGTTGGATATTTTTACGCATGTACCTTTTTGTTTCTTTTGAATTACTTAGCACTTTTCTGTATGTTTGATTACCGATGAAAATAGAGACTTTGTACATTTCAATCTGGTTGTTGTTAATTATTTAACTAATATATTGAAGAGACAGAGTAATCAAACAGTACGGAAATACCTAACACAAAGCAGAGCATTTATTGTTTCTGCCCTTGACAAAATTTAGTGTGTTTCTTTAAGGATGGTTTAAACACAAATGTGACTTCTCTTTGTGTGTGTGTGTTTGTGTGTGTGTGTGTGTGTGTGTGTGTGTGTGTGTGTGTGTGTATGTGTGTGTGGTGCATGTACACTCTAGCCCAGAAGAGGTTGCTGGGTGCCCTGGTCAATTACTCCCTGGCTTTTTGTTCCCCTGAGGCAGGGTCTCTCACTGAGCCGGGAACTAGGCTGGTAACCAGCAAGCCACTATGATTCTCCTGTCCACTCCCCTACAATGCCAGGATTGCAAAAGTGGGCGCAGCCCTGCACGGCTTTTCACGTGGGGACCCTCACATTTGCATACCCGCTGAGCTGTCTGCCCAGACAATGATTTCTCTTGTCTGAATGTTCATTTGGTTGCGTCAAACAAATTGTGTTCCTGTTATTTTCAGTTTTCAAAAGTTCTGTTTTTCTTTATACTTTTACCTTTTAATTTTTTTTAACTCATAGGGGAAAATCCGCTTTCAAGCAATTACTTATTTATCTTCTTTGCACACTAATCAAACACCTGCATGAATTAACAAGAGGACTTATTTGCAGCTGAGTTTGGAATAAGCATAGGTAACTTGAGATCTAAGGATTCTTATAAAATCACCCACCATAAAATTTATTATATATATATATATATTATTTTATATATATAATTTTAAAATTTGATTCATTTTTATTTTATGCATGTTTTACCTACATGTATGTCTGTTTTGCCACGTGCATACCTTGTGCCAAGAGAGGCCAGAAGAGGTTGTCTGGTTCCCTGGGACTGGAGCTACAGATGGTTGTGAATCATTGTGTGGATGCTGGGAGTCAAACCCGGATCCTCTGCAAGAGCAGCAAGGGCTCTTGACTGGGCATCTCTCCAGCCCCATGTAACAGACCGCTAATAGATAATACATTTATCTGCTTTAAAACTAAAGGGCACGTAGCTGCCCGTGGCAGTTCATGCCCATAATCTCAATGCTCATAGGTCTGAAGCAAAAAAGAATATGAGTTTGAGGCCAGCGTGGGCTATGTAGTGAGACTTTATCTAAGGAAAAAAAAAGACAACAAAGAAAAATAAGCTGAAAACCTGTCATAAATCTCTTGTCATAAACATGAACTTATCCACCTGATTAGAAAGCTTCCGCACAGCTTTAAAAAACAAAAACAAGAAAGTGTTAACAGAGAAAAAAGACTAAAAAAAGAAAAAAAAAAAAACTGGAGAAAATCTTTGCTAACTATTCATCTGGTTGGAGACTCATAAGCAGAATCATGAAGTACTCAAAAAGCAAACACCCAAACAAAAAATAATCTAATCAACAAATGGGCAAATGAACTGAACAGAAGAATAAATGTCCAATAAATTCGGGAAAATGTTTAACCTATTTAGCCGTCAGGGAAACGCAGATCAAAACTAAGATCCCATCTCATGCTGGCCAGAAGGGCTGTCATCAGGACCACCGAGAAAACCACACATGCTGGCCAGTGAGGACGGAACAAACAGGAGGGACCCTCTGTCCTGCTAAAGGGATTACTAGTTAGTGCAGCTGCTGGGGGACTCAGTGCGAAGGTCCAACAGACACAGGGACGGGAGCTGCCACAGATCTAGGTGTGTCACACCTCCTCACACACCTGAGACAACCAAATTCAACACGCAACAGGCCTCCAGGCCATGCACACCCAAGCACACTGCCTCACCATTCCGAACACCTAACATACAGAGTCAGATTTGGTGGCCACCAGCCGATGGCGAGACCTGAGTGTGGTGGTCTCACCTGCAGTCTTCACACTTGGCCTGGAGAACTGAAAGGCTGAGGTCAGCATGGGCCACACCGAGAGCCTGTCACAGAACCAGACCAAACCATTGCGGGGTGGAATGCGCACACACACACACACACACACACACACACACTTAAAAAACCACAGAAAACAAATAAAGTATCTATACACGATGGAATGGGGAGGTTGTTTTTGTTCTGTGAGATTTTGTTGTTGAGCAAAGTGTCCATAGTGCAAGGCGTGCTGTTTCAGTTATTCAGTGATGCCTGTGGTAGGAATTCTTTATTTTTCTTTTTTATTTATTTATTTGTTTGTTTGTTTATTTTAATTTCAAGACAGGGTCTCTCTGTGTAGGTGTGAATGAATGTAGTTCATTCAACTCAATGAACCCACTAGGCTCTATTTGGGGTCTTCCTGCCCGCGATGTGGTCAGGAAAGGACCTCAGGGCAGAAAGCATCTGTGGTTGTAGTGTTTCCTATGTGGGTTTCTGCTCTCATCTTTTACATGCTTCGGTACTGCCTGCTAATATCTGGGGAAAGGTGCTTCGTCTATTTTGTCCTGGATTCTACTGTTCTCTGGTGGAAAAGTCAACTCCAAAATCTTTGGTCCCTCTAAGAGAGCTGTAGAGCAGCAATGCTGCAAACTTGTTAAAGACTGCAAATGAAAAGTGAACTTCACAATTGTTGGTGTGCCAAGGACTAGAGAAGATTCAATGGCATTAAACTGTGAACTGCCCTTTTATTTTATTTTTTTTTTTCCAAGACAGGATTTCTCTGTGTAGCCTTTGCTGTCCTGGCCTCACTTTGTAGAGCAGGCTGACCTTGAACTCACAGAGATCCACTTGCCTCTGCCTCCCCGAGTGCTGGCATTAAGGGGTGTGCCACAATACCCAGCTTGAAACGCCTTTTTACCTGAGGCTGAGGAGATAAATTATGCTTAGACGCCATTTCACTCGCACCCGCTGCTGTCCCATTTCCAAATGAAATTCTACAGAAATAACTTTTTTGACTTCTTTTCCTTTTTTTTTTTTTTTTTTCAAGTGTTTTGAGACAGAGTTTCTCTGTGTAGCCTTGGCTGTCCTGGACTTGCTTTGTAGACCAGGCTGGTCTTGAATTCACGGAGATCCTCCTGCCTCTGCCTCCCAAGTGCTGGGATTACAGGTATGTTCCACCACACCGAGCTTACTTACTTTTTTTGAAACTAGAAAAAATTCCAACTTTACATTTATATTTCTCCCGTAAGTAAAGGTCAGTTGGGCGGTTTTAGCAACATTAAAGTGTCATTAATTGAGTCAATGCTAACGGTGAAGATGGTGAAGACAATAGCAATGCTATGTATTCGTTGCCAACTTGAGTGGGTGTAGAGCCACCGAGAGGCACACATCTGGGCCGTCTGCAAGGGTGTTTCTAGAGAGGGTTAGCTGAGGAGTGAGGACCTACCCTGAAGGTAGACAGCACTGCCAAATGGGCTGGACTGGTGGACAGAATAAGAGGGGCTGAAGAGGAAACCGCGGCAGCTTTCATCTCTCTCTGCTCAGAGTCGAGCAAGCAGCCCCCCACCAACACCCCTGCTTTCCCTGCCGTGATGGACTACATCCTCAACTTGAAGAAGCCCTCCTTCCCTCAGATTGCTTCTTTTTGAGACGGTCTCAGCTCAGGCTGACCTCAAACCCCCTAGGTAGCCAAAGATGACCTTGAACTTCTGCTTCTCCTGCCCCCAGCTCCCAAGGGTAGTGCTGGGGGTCTGACACAGTGTCTCCTGCATTGCTAAACATGAGCTGCAGGAGCTGGGCTGTGCCTGGAGCCCTTACCTTGCTCTGTATCAGATGCTGGTCGCAACAATGAGAAAAGTCGTGACTAGAGCATTCTAAACATTACCAATAGCTACCTCCCATACACCAGGTACCATTGGGGCTTTGATTAACTGTCTTTGCCCTTCCACAACACATAGGAGTAGTGGCAGTGGAACTCCAAGGCGTAAGGTCGGTTCCTTAAACTCTTCCACTCCATGAACACTCAGTGGTAATTTAGTGGCTGGAAGCAGGATGCAATCCTGAGAGAACCCAGCCTCCCCCTGCGATGAAGCCACGCTCTGATTCTATCTTTACCTGAGCTTTCCCATCTGGCAAATTAAAGCAGAAAACATCAAGCTCCCTCCCCTGAGAGGCTGGGTTGTTACATGCATGTTTTGTATTATTTTGCTCTGAATAACAGAGTATGTAAATGTGTTGCTGGAGGTTAAAATTACCCTTATTTTGTAACACTTGGCTGCTCCCACTGGGGTGAATAGTTGAAAATTATAGGGAGGCTGGAGAGGATGTTAGCTGACTTGGAATTACTTCCCTCCTTTCTCCCCACCCACTCCATAGTTCTGTGCAGACACGAGCTGCCACTGTGGCGTCGCCATCCCATCTCTAAATTCTAGCTGCTTCTGATGTGCAGTGACCAGACGGGTTAACGCTGGTTTTGGCACAGGCTCCATCAGGTGTGTGTGCAGGGGCCTATGTTCTCGCTGGGGAAAATGAAAGTCTCCTGTGGCACTGGGAAGCCCCATCACACCAGATCACAAAAAGGTGTTTGGTCAACATGGGCGCATTACGGTCTTCCAGCTCATGTTTGGAGTTTGGCATGGCCCCTCAGCTTCAGCTTCCCCACGGGCCCTGCTTTGTTGGGCCGTCCCTATCTTAAACTGCTTTTTTCCTGGCATTTGAATCATCCCTTCCATGATGTGATAATATCTGCAAGTTGGGAAAATAAAAGTGGCATTTGTTTAGCCATAATTAATGAAATATTTATGTTGCATGAGGCTATGTGATAAAATCCTTAGGCTTAGAGTCCTTTTGCTTCTGATTACATTTGGGATTTTTTTTTCTATGACCAGACATTCTGACGCCAGCTCTTTTACACTGAGCAGATGTCGTGTAGTAAAAATGGGTGCCAGATGCTGCGAGCCGCAGAAGGGCGATTTGTTTAAGAGCTGGCGCTGACTTTTTTTTTTTTTTTTTTTTTTTGCATTCAATTACTCTGTAGAAGAAACCTTACTGGGGCATTTAGGTAACTTAGCTAACTTCAGATATGCATTTTTCACAATGGGTTTCGGATCCAAAAGCATTGTAAGCAAGGATCCCGCACTGTAAAGGGTGTTTAAGGACTTCCTTGATTTCTGCATAATACCTTGTTTTGTTTTGTTTTGTTTTGTTTTGTTTTGAATGTGAGAAGAGAGCTGCAGAGCTCTTGGCAGGAATCCAGAACTGTAATTAACATGGAGGGCCAACTTCTCAGTGGCCCTGAGGTACTGCTTTCCCAAGCTCCTGGCAGGTGCAGTGAGGGGTGGGCAGGAGGAAGCAGACGGGGTGAGCGAGGAGAGAGAGGCAGCTGTGAGGCATGAAGCAGGCAAGGAAGCCCGCAGTTTGGTGAGTTCTCTGGTTCTTGTTTCAGGCCCTGGAGCTCGAGTGACAGAGGCCACCTCCTCTCCCTCTTCCACCACCTCGTCCTCCGCAGAGGAAGACTTGGACTCCCAGCTTTCCTCGGGGTTAAAGGTAATATCACTTGCAACACCATACAGTGCCTTAGCTGGCTGGGACTCATGCCCCATCGAGGTTTCAGGACCAATGTGGGCTCCAGCTGCCGGGGTCTTCATGAGGATCTGTCCACATTGCATCTGACAGCCACCCTTCTTTTTATCTGGAACCCCCCAAGATTTGCCTTCTTAAAAAAAAAAAAGTGTCAAATGGAGGCTGGAAAAAAAGAAGACATACTGACTTGAAACAATTTGGCGAGTACAATGCTTAAAGTGGGTTTAGTATGTGGTCCAATAAGCACACCATTGAGAAATTTCAACAAGCAGATGTGTATTTCCCCAAAGGGAAGCACAACTTCATTTAAGAAGCACTAGAGGCAGATTGCATGGAAAGCATTATGCTTATTCTAATCAGAGCTATGAAATGAACCGTGCAGTTGCACCGAGACACGGACGCACCAAGGCGCCTCCCGTGGAAGGAACAGCCTGCACACCACCGGGAAGGCAGCCATCCCCTTTGCTGAGTGGATGTTAATATGTCTGGAGAGCGCGTTCCAAATCTCCCATACCAGTGCAGAGAAAACACAGTGTCACACGCCTGTAGATGTGCCTGAATGTCTAATACACAGAGACAAACGTTTGCCACGGGAGCCCAGCGCTGTTTTCTCGAAGCCTGGGACTGGAGCTCGTGCCCAGGGGTAGAGCACTGAATGGCTGGTCCTCATGTGATTCCGGGGTGCACCGAGGAGCAGTCTGCTGCTCAGCTACTGTTCATATTTGTGGAGCAGAGAGGATCCAGGGAAGGAAGGGGCAAGCCAATTTATTCACTCACACTCCACTTTTCCATATCTAGCAAGGGAAGCTTTGGCTTCACAAAGGGGAATGGGGGAGCCCCAATTCCCTAAGGTACATGTGAGCAAGTAGGTGCTTGCTCACACACACACACACACACACACACACACACACACACACACACGGGTGGGGGCAGGGATTTTTCTTTTTTAAATGTGGGTCCCTTGAGTTAACTCATTCCTCACCAGAAATGAATTGTGTGTGAATTATGTTATGTTGATTTCTGGGGGGGTCATCTCCTCAGAGGACCCAGGGCTGATTCTATATTCAAATAGACAGACCCCAGCTCCGCTTTCTCTACTCTCATAGAGAAAGACTAGGTTAGCACTGGCACGTGGACATAGCAGGCTCATAATATCCCAAAAGAGTCTCACAACCAGCTCCTTGCCATCTTGTTGGCCTACCACATGGCTATTGTCACTTCAGAGTGCCGGGTGGTAAAGCATGCCCATGCCAGCATGCCCAGGCCGCCTTGTTCCGATTGGCACAGCTCTTCTTGAAAAGCCTTCAAGTGGGAAGGCCTCTGGGCTCTGTTCCTTTGGTTGCATTCAGGTGTGTCCTCAGCCAAGGGTCACAACAGAGCCTGCTCAGATAAGCCTGTGCAGAGGAAGCTAGAAGCAGGTGCCTGAGGCAGGAGACTGGGGCAGCTGATCCTTGGTTTTTCCCTCCTCCTGCACTGGCTTTCTTCTCGCCCTGCTTCTCTATGTCACCACTGTTGCTGTGAATAGAATAAAGAGCCCATGCATGTGGGTGCCCGAGGATTTTCTGGAAGATGCTTTAAATAAAATATAATAAATTAGTCTCTAGCCTTAACTGTGGGTTCTATTCTGCTGACTCTTGAGAGAACAGGCTTGTGCATGTGTGCGTGTTGTGTGTGTGCATTGAAGATCAATGGGGATCAAACCCAGGACCTCCCACATGCTCCACAAGCACTCTGCCACTGAGCTACGCTCTGAGCCCTGTGGGAAGGGCTATGATTCCGGAAGACTGCATGCACTGTTGCAGTCTATCTTGCAGATATCCTAGTTTGCTTTCTGTCACTGTGATGAACACTATGGCCAGAGACAACTTGGGGAGGAAAGGGTTACAGTTTACAATCCCCCGGAAGGAAAGTCAGGACCAGAGCTGAAGGCGGCAACCTGGAGGCTGGAACTGAAGCAGAGGCCCCAGAAAGACGGAAAAACGTTGCTTCCTAGGTTGCGCTCCATGGCTTGATCGGCCTGTTTTCTTACACAGTCCAGTACCAACTGCCCAGGAGTGGCACTGCCCACAGTGAACTGGGCCCTATCCCATGTCGATTATCAAATCAAGAAAATGCCCTCCAGACTCACCTACAGGGCATCTGTTGGAGGCATTTGCTCAACTGAGGTTCCCTCGGATGATCCAACTTGCGTCGTGTTGGCAAAAAAAAAAAAAAAAAAAAAAAAGAACCAGAACGTCAGAGTTTGCATTCAGTTGTCTCCAATGTAGAGAAAAATGACACTTGTAGAGGCCCTCCCACAGAGCAAGGGTCCTTTATTGCCTAGTACCCGGCATAAGGAAAGGCAGTATTGCCCACGGGGAAATATTCACCTGGGCTCTTCCCGTTTCTAATCGTGTCCATTTGGGCAGGTTGTCCTTCCGAATTTTGGTGTCCATATTTGTAGAGATGTTCAATCTGAGGAATAAATGAGACACCACGAAGTAATTAATTCATTATCTGGCACCAACACTCTACAAATGCTAGGATTTACAGTGTCGGTCATGTGATGCGTGCATCTGAGACACTTGTAAAATAAAGGTCTCCACGTGGGCTGAGTGAGGTCAGCTCAGTGCAGAAAGCACCAGGGATACCCAGAACCTCTCACTCTGGTTCAGACTTCTCCAGACATCCTCAATGATGAGTGGAGGGTCCCCTGTGCTAAAGACCAGAAGCGAGCAGTCTACCTGGGGCTTATCTCCAGAAACAAGGATGGGAATGTGTTGTGACCTAAGAGCCAAGATTTCCTCCCAAAGATCTTAAGGATTCCAAAAATTCTAGAAGAACTAATTCCATCCCTGAGATGGAGCACTTGGGAGGCAAAGGCAGGTAGATCCAGATCTCTGTGAGTTCAAAGACAGCCTGGTCCATGCAGCAAGTTCCAGGCCAGTCAGGGCTGCACAGTGAGACCCTGTCTCAAAATAATACAGATAATGCTGCTGCTGCTGCTGCTGCTGGTGGTGGTGGTGATGATGGTGATGGTGGCGATGGTGATGCAATAGTTAAATTAAATTCTAACTTCAATTTTTATTCACAGCTTAATTCCAGTGCCACATGTGGATAGTGGCATTCATATTTCACAGGGTCCCTGCTATCACTGCATGAAGTTCTGTTGGATGCTATTATGCTAGAAGCTCAGCAGTGGCTTGAAGCCATGCATAAAGAGGGCATAATGCTATGATGAGGATTTGTAAACTTTAACCCTTTATTCTTAGCTTTTTTTTCTTCTTCTCCATTGGTTTGTATAGGAGAAAGTACCCAGAAGAAGGAGGAAGCTGGAGAAGCAGTTGGCTAAGCAAGAAGAATTGAAAAGACTCCATAAGGCTCAGGTCAGGAAGTAAACATGGAAGGATGGGTACTCCCCCAACCCCGAGTGAGGGTGGGAAAGTCCTTCGGGAGTCTGTCTGCACTTGGGGAGATGGACCAGGGAAAGGTCCACTTCCCTTCTCTGAGAACCAGGCTTATGGCCATTCTGCAGGTCCTGGCCCAATCCCCAGTAGGGCTGTGAGGTGAGGCGCTCAGGGGTTGAACTATTCCTATCTCAGTCACCTTTCCCTCCGCAGGTCTGTGTCCTGCAAAGTGAGGCTGGCACATGGCCTTGGCCATCATCATGGGCCCTTAGTCCCCCAAAGCAGTGACCTTGGTTGTGTCCTCAGTGAGGACAGAAGTCATCCACCAACTCTTTGACTGGGTCTCTGCAAAACTGAGGGCTCCTGGGGTCTGACCCCGCTTCAGGATTAGCTGAAAGCATAAGTACCTAGCATGTCTTAGCCTGATGATTTGCTCTGCCATGCTGAGCTGACTGACTCTGCCACAGATGAACAAAGTGAAGTAGATGGTGTAAACCATGTCCTGATCCCCTAGGAACTTCAAGCCTAGACTTGAAGAACAGTTGGACATTAGCATATGAGAATGTAGATGGATCACAGACCTGAGCATACCCCCAAACTTAGCAAGTGCTTAGGGGGTCCTTGGAGTATGACTCCCGAGCCTTATGGGTTCAGCACCTAGTCTTCAGCCTTCATAACTGATGGTAACAGATCCACAGGTGCTTCTGTTGTGGCAGCGCCCTGCGGCCTCAAGCAGTGGTGCAAGGCAAAAAAGAACACCATTTGTAGCTAAGGTGGGAGGCAGGATGATCCGAAAAGGAACGGTGATCCCCAGGAGATGGCTCAGCAGTCCCTCTTCAGGAAGTGTCAGGTGTTCCTTCCTGCAGAGTTGAACCTGAGGCCCCTAGCCTGTGCTGAGGGGACAGCCCTGGTCACCAAGACCTTAGCCATGGTCCAGGACTCAAGTGGATCCCCTAGCCAGCCAGGAGCCTCTGACCTAGGACTCCGGTGTCATGAGTCTTGTTAGAGGGCTGTTTTAGCTCCTCTGTGGGTGTCAATCACACATCCACATCCATAAATGCTGCACCGAGGTCCAGAGCTCCACAGTCCCCGCCAGGTGAATCAGGGCGGTAACCACTCTGGTGACAGCTGGTAGCAGGCTCAGTCCCCTCTTGTGACATGCACTCCTGGTCTTGTAGGCCATCCAGAGACAGCTGGAGGAGGTGGAAGAGCGGCAGAGGATGTCGGATATCCAGAGCGTGAGGCTGGAGAAGGTGCTGAGAGGAAAAGCAGGTACAGTCAGCGGGTCCACAGCTGTGGATGCAGCTCTAGAGTCTGAGAGTAGCGCTGGCCTTGCATGGTCAGGAGGACAAAGGACGCTCATCACCCGCAGGGCATAGGCCACCACAGACAGGTGATGCTAAGGCCTTGCACTTTTTTGTATAAAGATTTGTTTATTTTTCTTTTCTGTGCTTGAGTGTTTGGCCTGCACATCTGTCCACGTACCAATGAGTGCCATGTCCACAGAGGCCAGAGGAAGGCCTCAACTTCTCTGGAACTGAAGTTCAAATGACTGTTAGCTGCCATGTGGATGGTGGCAATCAAACCGTTGTCCTCTGGAAGAGTAGCAAGTGCTCTTAACTGATGAGTCAACTCTCTAATCCTATGCCCCACAAGTTAAAACATGAAGCTGTCGGTTTGGTCTGAAAACCCTTCTGGGCATCCTCTGGAGGTTTCTCTCTGAATGAATGATCTTTGAAACTCAGAGGTTAAAAAGTATCCAGGAGGAATATTTGAGGGTTCAAAGCAATAGTTCTTTTAAAGTAAAGCCCAGAGTTCAAAGCCCAGAGTTCAAATGGCTCAATGGGTAAAGTGCTTGCTGTGCAAGCATGAGGACCTGAGTTCAAATCCCTAGCACCCATGTACAAATCTTGTCACAGAATCATATGTCTGTACTCCTAATTCTGGGGAGGTTGATTCAGGATCCCAGGAACTTGCTAGCCAGCCAGTCTTAACACACACACACACACACACCAAATAATAATAACAACAACAACAAAAACAGATTCAGGTTCAGTAAGATATTTTGACTAAAAATATATATATATATTGTGAAAAGAGACCTAAGAAGAGACTCACTTCTGGCTTTCACATGCATGCTCACAGGCACACACACACACACACACACACACACACACACACACACACACTTCCTCAAAAGAGCCCTGGACAGGGTCTATGATGGAGCAGAAGCGCAAACATGACTGTTCTTACTCGATCACACCAGGAATTTCCTTGTGCAGAGAGCCTGGTTGGACCAGCTGGAGCAGACTCCCTTCGCTGCAATGATGGCTGTTCCTTGCTCCTTGTATGGAGTCCCTGGTTTCTCTCTCACCGCACTTGGAAATTCTGGAGGAGTGAACTGGCCTTGTTTGATGTTTTGTATGCTAACATTCCCAATCAAGGAGGCTCCAGTATTCATCTTTTGATGCAGTGAGAATCCTGGGAATGAAAAGAACAAGCCAGCAAAGGGGGTGTTTCTTATGTGCTGTTACTGACACATTGCTGATGTTGGGGCACAGTGAGAGCTGTGACTCAGAGACGTCACAGAGCCTGTGCTGGGCTGGGAGGTCGCTCAGCTGTGGTGCTCGTGGCGCAGGTATGCAAACCTGAGTTTGGTCCCCAGAATTCACCAGGTACAGTGGCTCACACATATAATCTCAGACATAGGGAAGTGGAGACTCCTATCAGTGAGTCCCTGGGGCTCATTGATCAGCCAACCTGGCTTAACTAGCAGTCTCCAGGGTCAGAAACCAAGGGAGACAGTGGCTGAGGCAAGAGGACCAACGTTGATCTCTGACCTACACACACACACACACTTTGGGTGGGCATAGTCCTTGGAAAAATCACACACTCAACCTCTCAGTTTCCTTACCTGAACAGTGAGCTAACCCCCACAGTACCCGATCATTTTGAGAACTCAAGCGCCAGTGGCATCCATCCGAGTCTTTCATACAGGTAGTCAAGAAACACTACCCAACATTCTGCAAAACGTTCTTGTCCACCCAAGACACTTTAAAAGAAATACCTATGCCTGCAATCTCTGCTGCCAGAAATTTAAATCTGAGACAGCAAATGTTTAAAGCTTGCTCTGAGCATCTCCTGCCATCTCCAAAAGTAAAGAGGAGGAAGCTATTTTGAGCCATACCAATGTGGCCAGCAATCGGTGTTGTCAAAGGTGAATTGGGCCAGCCAAAAGATGGATTCTGTTCATTCCCTTTCTGTCCTCAGTAAACTAATCATCCTGTTAGGTTTATAGGCCTTTTCCCCATTGGATGTCCTTGTGAGGGTGACAGATGGAAATCAACAAGGGCCTAGGGACAAAAAGGAGTCCCGTCTCAGGGAGCAGCCTCAGAGGAAACCAAGGGGAAGCTTCACAAATAAGGCCATCAAAATGAAGGCGTGCTAACTTACAGCAGCACTGTGGCAATGGTCATATCCCTCTGTGGGTCCATAGTCTGCGCAGTCCCTTGAAGAGACTGCCCTGCCGCTTAGCGAATGACCGATGCTTATTGGGTTAAGTTGTATTTGAGCTGGCCTCTGCTGCTCCCATTCAAGTGATTTAATGAGAATTATTTAATAGGTATTATTAGGATAATTAGACAATGATCACAGTTAGGCAATAATATTGAGCTATCAAGGTTGTGAATAACCAAATTTAGAGGCAGGCCTGCAAACAAGGAGAGGGCTTCGACAGTTAGGCGAGGCCCCTTCCGTAATGACTGGGGGCAGGCTGAAAGGGTCTTTTGTGCCTGGGAGTTATTCATTAGGCCCATTGAATTTGAGGACTGGGCAGGGGTTCGGGGTGGGGGTGCAGACCGAGGGCCCTGACATCTAAGGGAAATGAGCTCTTCATTGTCCTGACAACAGTCTGGCTGTCTTTTAATTTTTTTTTCCCCAACAGTCAGAAATAAATTCTCCCACCCCCACCCCTGCATGGAGTCTCCCCCACCCCACACACACAATTTGTTCAGGAAAAGGAAACAAAGTGGATTAGAGCGCTAACCATCCATCCCAGATGACAGACCAAGACACACAGGATGTCTGTGCGTGTGCTGGCGATTTTGGCAAAGGCAGCAGAGAACTCCTATGGTTCCCCAGGGTTCAAGGCACCGATGGAGCAGGATACTCAGTGGCCTGCCCCCCCACCCCACCCCAGGTCACACCAGCTGTGAAGCTACTTGGACTTGTCTAGGTTCAGACACTAGCCCCCATTCCCCTGCAGAAGACTGCCAGGCAGATTCAGTAGGTGGGGGTTGTTTGAGAGTTCTGGAGACAGGTGAAATCAATTGCAAAGGAAGAGCAGCTTCGACAGATGAAAGCCTTTATGCGCAGGGAAGGCCAGGCAAGCTCCTTCCCCTACAGCCTTGCTCACTGCAGCCAGCTGCCTGTCTTCATGGGGCGTCTCTCCTTTGGGGGGCCAAACAGTTTCTCCTTCACAAGGCTAGCAAGGGCAATGCAGATGCTGGAGGCTGCCAGCAGAGGGCAGCAGCACACACATGAATGATTTAATGGCCAGCCCAGCCAGAAAAGAGGGTAGTTTGGCTGCTACTATGTGGGTTTTGTTTGTCTTTGTTGTTGTGGTGGTGGTTGTGGTTGTTTTCTCTTGACTGCTGCTGAGGAACCCAAGAAACACCAATGTCCTGACTCATGTGCCAGTGGGGGATTCTAGGCAGAGCACAGGGATGAGTCCAGTGTTCTTGAATGAATCTTGATGTCACCAGCCTTCTGCTGTTAGTGCTCTGTCAGATGTTCCTATCTGTAAAATGGGACTAATAAACCCTCCTTCTCGATGAAAGAGTAAATGATAAGGGTGGTAGGGCTGGGGGAGGGGGGACTCAGTCGTTAAAGTGCTTGCCACGGAAGCCTGAGGACCAGAGTTCAATCCTTAGACCCTTGTAGAACCCTTGCTGTGGCAGACCAATCCCAGTGCTGGGGAGATGGAGGAAAGAGGGCCCTAGGGCTGGCTGACCACTTAATTCAGGCATATCAGTGAGCCCTAAGTCCCAACAAAAGGCCCTGTCTTACAAAAGAAGGTGGGCAGGGCAGTGGTGGCCCACACTTTAAATCCCAGCACTCTGGAGGTATGGGCAGGCAGATCTCCGAAGTTGAGGCTAGTCTGTCTACAGAGTGAGTTCAGCTAGAGCTGCAGGAGAAACCCTGTCTAAAGAAGGGGAAAACAAAGTGGGAAAGTGATTGAGGAAGGCGCCTCATGCCAACCTCTGATGGTCACGAATGCACAAGTGTGCACATACGCACCCACACACTCACAGAATGAACGAGATCATTTCAGTGAAGCATTTGATAAGTGGACCTGTCCCATCTTAGGACTTCAAATGGATGTGTTCTTCTCCTTTGAGTCCCCATCCTTATAAAACCCACTCCCCTGGCCAACCTTTGTTTATCCATTCCATCTGTAACTCTTCTCCAGACAGAAGTCAAGCTGCCTTCCACAGACATGCATAATCTATGACTTTCACATGCTTGTCCGTATAAGAATCTTGAAGGAAGTCTTACTTTTTGGCCCATACCTGTAACCCTCTAAGGAGGCTGAGGCAAGACGGTGAGAAGTTCAAGGCCAGCCTGGGCTACATGGTAAACCTGTCTCACAAAGAAGGAGGAGGAAGGAGAGGAGGGAAATTTTCAGTGTACATTTTGAAATTTTGTATTACATGGATGTTGTTATAAATTTCATGTGTGTGCATGGGTATTCATCTTGTGGCACACAGAGGGCAACTTGCAGGAAGTTGGTTCTTTCCTTCCATCAAATGGAGTCTTAGCATGAAACTCAGGTTGTCAGGCTTAGGGCAGGTGACATCTCACCAGCTGACCAGTTTTTTAAAGGGTGTGTGTGTGTACAAGTACCCACGAAGGCCAAAAGAGAGCATTAGATTCTTTGGAGCTGAAGTTATAGACAGTTGTCAGTTGCTGGACACCAACAGCAACTGCTCCTACACACTGAGTCAACTCTCCGGCCCCTAGGACTGACTCTCACTGTCACTCCCAGCACACCAGCAACTGGGTGAAACAGTTCAACGAGGAAGTCAAAGCCTGTGCTGTGGAGGGGTGCCTGTTAGACAGTCAGCCATCATTAGGGCATGGGCTCTCAGGAGAAGATGCCCTTCAGATTATCTCTACAACTCTTTCTTCTCTGAGTGGAAAAAACAAAACAAAACAGTGAGCCCGAGGGTAAGCTCCTTGCCAGCCATTCCACGTGGCTCATTTCTGTGCCT